ATAGACCAAGATCCTATGGACTTGTTTTAAGCCAGTATAGGGAATGTTCGTTGTGCACTAGTCATTTATACTGTAAAATTATTGAAATTTGATACATATGATACAATTTTTCCGCAAGTTTCTCTATATATTCATACATAAACTTCAATTTCATAGAGATACGATTTTACCATATCGTGATAATTAAAAAAAAAAAGATATTAAGAACTAATCATAATATCTGCTTTATTGGTGTTCTTGATCAACTTATTTTTTTTCTTATTAACTTTCCTTGAAAATGTATTTAATGTCAAAATATTGTTTGAAATTATTTTATTTTTTTTATGGCGAAAGCGGTTTCGGATAAAAAAGAGATTTAGAGGTAATTGGATATAGGTTCGCTCTGAAGAGACAGAGGGAGGTCATGGCGACTGTCATTGCCAGGTAATTGGAAAATTATGAGATTTTTTTCTGTTCGTTAGCTAATTATATTTTTTTTATCCTCTGAAATGTATCTCTTACCAACAACAATTATTTTTTGTTTTTATGGCGATTTTTTTTTCTAATTATCAGATTCTGGGTTAAATAACATACATATATTAATTAATGTAACTAGATATATTCAAGCTTTTTTCTCTCTCCTCTCTCTCTCTCAAGAATTATTATATATTTGAAATGAAACGTAGTAGATCTTAGCTAGGTTGAATGTATGAAGTTTCTTTTTGTTATGATGAGTTCTTGAACTTTTCCAGTTCTTCAACAGTCGACTTAAATCTGCTGTTTCCAATATAAAGAGACATTTTTAATTATCTGTCTGTACTGCATCATTAATAAAATATTGATGATTGTTTTTTTATTTAGACAAGCTGTAATCATTTCTTATAGACTTGTTATAGATAGGTCACAATCTGTTCCAAAATGTGTGAATTTTAAAATATTTTTTTGACGATGTGCGCGCAAACGTTGCCGGAAATTGAACAAAAATAAAGAACTAAATTATTTACAGGAAACCGTTATGATATTTTGAGTTACCTCATCATGGGATTTGACATTCTAGTTAAAATTAGAGATTTGATGGTTACTCTAAGGTATTTATATATTCGTTAATATTTAATTATGTCAAGCATTAAATACTTAAGTTTTGTAAGAGATAAACGTCAAAGCTAAAACTAATGGTAGTTACTAACATTCGTGATATTATTTTTTTTTTTTTATACCTAGTTTAGTTAAAGAAAATTACAGTAGATAATGCTAATTTTCGGACAGATATAATTTTTATAATGTCTTCAATTGTTACAATTAATAAAGCATAACATAAGTATAATACTAATCAGACCTGGTTAGTATTTCAAATATGGTATTTTAAAATATATTACAAAATATAATATATTTTTTTTATTTCGCATTTTAATATAAAATATAAAACGGATTGTTTGTAACTGTATTTTCTTTTTAAGATACAAAATGTCTATTTATATTTTATTTCCAAGATAGTAAAACAAAAAAAAAAAGTATATAAAATACTCAAAAAAATTAACAATTTAAGTTCTCCTTAAAGGCTGATCGTCCGGTAGGAAGTCTTTTATATTTGTATTTTGTTTTTGTATCTAAAATACAAACAATTTTAGCATAATACTTTTCCTGGAAACAATATTTTTTTTTTTTTTTTTTTGAACTTGATTCTTCAACTCACACCTGTCAGAAGTTCCGACAATCAGCGAGTGTGATGTCAATATGTAGAGATTGGTCTTGGAATAGGCGTGAGGGAGAGGAGTACCCAGCGGCGTCCTTCCTGTCTTGACCGCAATGTTTATAGTTAGTGGAGGAGATCCCTCATCCAGCTTCTTTTAAGCCTCCTTCGGGTGTTATCGGGCATGTTAGTTGTGGCCATGCCTCGAATCAATGAGTTTGTATGTCCGTGTAAGTTATTATGAAATCGTTTGTAGTATGTTCGTATGTGGTCGTTAACTGTTGGCATCTGTAAGTCTTTATGTAGAGTAATGTTACTGACGTACCAGGGAGCTTTGGTGATAGTCCTGAAAGTTTTAGATTGAAAAGTCTGTAATTTACGTATGTGAGTCTTTTTGGCTGTCCCATATATCTGTAAAGCGTAGGTCCAAATAGGCTTGAGTAGGTAAGTATATGTATTCAATTTCTGTCTAAGTTTTAATTTCGAATTTCTTGCAAGGAGTGAGTACAATAGGCGTAGTCTTAGGTTTAGAGTTTTTGTTTTGTTTTTAATATGTTGGCCCCATGTCATTCTTCTGTCAAAGGTCAGTCCAAGATATTGAACTTTGTCAGTCTGAGGAATTTGGATATTGTCAAGGTAAATAGGGGGGCAAGTTTCACGTCGAAGGGTAAAAGTGATATGTTGTGATTTGTCTAGGTTGAGTCGAATTTTCCAGAGTTTGCACCAGTCGTAGAAATTGTTTAGGTGATATTGTAAAGTCTGTGAGGCGTATGCTGAATTTTGATGCCTTGTCAAGATTGTTGTATCGTCTGCGTAAGTCGCGGTCAGAGTATCGAGAGGATCTGGAATATCATATGTGTAAATAATATACAACAGAGGAGCGAGTACTGACCCCTGAGGCACCCCTGCTAGGGCTGGTTTAATGGTAGATAGTTCTGTACCTTGGCAAACAGAGAAAAATCTGTCAGAAAGAAAAGATTGAAGAATAAGATAGTAGGTTGGAGGGAGTATAGTCTTAAGTTTGAAAAGAAGTCCCTGATGCCAGACTCTATCGAACGCTTGAGCAACATCCAGAAATACTCCTGTTGCATATAATTTGTGCTCTAGTGCTGTCGCAATGTAGTCTGTCACTCGGTGTAGCTGATGAATGGTTGAGTGGTGTGAACGAAATCCAAACTGATGTTCAGGTATTATGTTTTCAGTAGTCAGTATGTCAAAAAGTCGTTTGTAGAGAAGTTTCTCAAAGATTTTAGAACATAATGGGAGCAAGCTGATGGGTCTGTATGATGAAGGAATGTCAGTGTTTTTGTTAGGTTTGTGAATCATTTTTATGAATGAATATTTCCATTGTAAGGGGAATTTAGTCGTTCTGAGTATTGCGTTATAAATTGATGTTAGGTATACTAGAGCTTTCCTTGGCATTTTCTGGAGCACTTGAGCATTTATCAGGTCATGACCGGGAGCTTTCTTTTTAGGTAACTGTCTGATTTGTTCTGCAACTTGAGTTGGAGCGAAGCAAAGTGGAGGTAATGACAGTTGTAAAGGAATGTCTAAAGTGTTTTGTACATGTCTATCGTGATCAGTATTAGAGAAGTCAGTATGTGGTGTGAAAACAGAAGAAAGATGGTTGGCAAAGAGCTCAGATTTTTCAAGGTCTGACACAGCCCAGGAACCATCTACGTTTCGGAGTGGTGCTGACACCTCACGATGCTTTACAAGTTTCTTAGTCTGTCTCCATAAGCTTCCATCGTCAGTCGAAAGATTTTTGAGGTAATTGTCGTAGATCGTTCTTTTAAAATTCTGAATCTGACGTTTAAGTTCATTGTTAAGTCTATTGAAAGTCCGTTTGTCAGATGGGAGTCGACCAGTCTGCCACACTTTGCGCGCTCTTCTCTTTGCTCTGATCAGGTCTCTAATGTACTGCGGATAGATTGGAAGAGACGTATTTCTGCTGGGTCTTGGTACAGATGATGACCATACAGCCTGTTGTAAGCTGATTGTGAACTTATCAACAGCTTTTTCGAGTTCCTCTTCGGTCTTAAGGGACATTGGGATTGATAGCGTCGAATTTAAGTAGTCGCTGTAAGCTTCCCAATCGATTATCCTATCTGTAAGTGTTGGTTTTGTTGATGCAGTACGAGGCTCATCGCATAGTAACAAACTGAGAAGAGAATGATCAGAACAAAGATCAGAGCTTGCAGTTACAGTATACGGCACTGTCCTGAGTCCTTTAGTAATGAAAAAGTCAAGTAAATCTGGTGTTTTCTGTCTTGAAGTTGGCCAGTAAGTAGGTGTATCAGGTGAGATCGTGTTTAATGAAAGCTGATCGATGGCAGACTTTAGATTTCTTCCTCTAGGAGTACAGAGTCGTGCTCCCCAGGACTGATGTTTGGCATTATAATCACCACCTGCAATAAAACACCGACCGAGATGTTGGAAGAAATTGTAAAACATTGCAGATGTTAGCACGTATCTCGGAGGGCAGTACACTGCAGCGAAGGTAATGGTATGGTGCTGGGTATACAGAGTAATTGCTGTGGATTGTATGTCAGGTGTAATGGGTAATTGTAAAGGGTTGTGTTTTAGTGATTGCTTAATCAGTATTGCCGTACCGCCATGTGCCGTCTTATCAGGGTGGTCAGTTCTATATATTTTGTAGCCTGGAATGTAAAATTTAGAATGTGGAGTCAAGTGTGTTTCAGTGATGAGAGCAATGTCAGTCCGTTTTTCATGTAAGTACATGTCAAGTTCGGTCCTGTGTTGGTTTATACCATTTGCGTTCCAGAGAAGAACGGACAGAGAACGGATATTTTAATACTTAATACTGTTCCAAATAAATCTAATATTTTAAATATCAAATATCCAAATATAATAATATTTTAATAATAATACTGTTCAATTATTTCGCAACTATTAATAAAATTAAATAAATTGTATTAATTAAAATTAAATAGTATAAATTAAAATATTTATGGGTGTCTTGTACTGGGTCCCCTGTAAAATATCTTTTTTATATATACAATATATTACGAATAAAATAAAAATTAAATTTGTAAACACAGAAAACAAACTAAATATTAATATTTAGAATGACATTAAATATAGACTATTTTAGAGTAGAATATGCTTCAGGTCTCTTATATTTGGGTGTTGTTTTTGTATAATTTCCTAATTCTCATATTAATGGATTTGACGAGTGTTGTTGAGATTGAAAGAAGATTGTATTGTTGTATATACAGCTTATTTAATTCGGAGTGCATCGTAGCTAATTAATTAAAATAGTTTTTGCCCAAGTTCCTAATAGCCTAAATATTGATTAAATTATACTCACCATCGTAGCACCACTCCGTCACTTGCTCGCAAAGATCTTCATTGAAAAGACAGCCTGGAATCAAGTATTTAAATTAAATTAAATTTATATTTCATATTACTCAAGATGAAAATTTTATTAATTTAAAATGAAAAATTAATACATAGTCAACTAATGTTAATATCGATTTTGGATATGATATTATTAAGTAACTTGAATGTATGAATGAATGATTCACAAATGATTGTATTTTTTTGTTTTAAATCGAAAAAAAATTAACACTTTCCAAAAATTGTTCGTTCGCAAATTTTCAGGTACTCAAAACCATAGGCTTTGTGACAAATTCAAATTTGTGAAAATTCGTACTATTGTAGGCACAATGCTATTGTTTTTTCTTACTCAAATTAGGTCAGATATTTGCTTATTTATTCAATTCATATGTTTTAATTCCCCATGCCTGTCATGTCATTATATCATTATCGCCATCACATTTGCTGATTGTCAACTTATTGTTGACAGGCGCAAATACTTATTTTATGGAAAAAAAAATGTTTTAAAACATTTTTATATTCGTTTTTTTTTAAGTTAATGAGTCAAGAGTAAAATCAGTTTAATTTAAGGTACGAAATAGGTTTAGTAAAACTATTTTTTAAACTATTGGGATACTTTTTATAAAAGTTAAAAGGTTAAAGGGTTCAATATTTCTACAAATATTAAAAACGGAAATTTGAAACTAGGTAAAATATTATTGAAATTAATAAAAATCGACAAATATTAAAATCGGTTTTTAAAAATGGCAGTATCAATTTTTTAAATATTTTTATTTATCTAGAAAATTAAATAAAAAATTGTACATACAATCATCATTTTATGAAGTAAATAACAATCACACTTGAAAGCAGGTATGAAAGCAATTTATTTTTCTATAAAGCAACAAAAAGGGAGTGGGGTAGCTCGGTGGTACTGAGCTCCCAATGCTAAAGGTCCCAGGTTCAAATCCCAGCTTATGGCAAAAAAAAAGTATTTATTTTGTTTCCTTGGCCGTGAGGCGACGCTGAGTAGGTAGACCTTCCTAAGGCACACCCAGTCTCTATAAAGTGGATACTATTAATTAAAATAATTAATGAAGGGAATAAACCTGGCGGTTTAGCTAATCTCAGTCAAATCACCTTCTTGCACAACTGTAGACCAAGAAACAGTGCTTTCCCTAAATATTACTGAATCCAAGACCCTTCATGGGTTGTGGTGGTACAGGTATAAAGCAACAAAAGTTAAACATTTAGTATTAATATAAATAATAAAAAGTGAAAATAATTGTAAGCCCAATCTAAACTTTATTTATAAAAATATAACCTTGCAAAAATGGTGTACGAGTTACGATGTTGGTCGACCCTTGAAGAAAATTTTATCTTCGTCGCGTTAAGATACAATTTTGAATAATGGTTCATTACAAATAAAATGAAATCCTGATCATTTCTCTTTCTTACAGTATGCAATTACGAATCTTAGTTGCTGAGATATTTTAATCCATATCTTCAATAAAACTCGTCTTGTCAGACAACCAATTATAGTGTTTCATATATAGATTAAAATATCTCGGAAGTTAAAATTCAGACCTGGAAACTGTAAGGAAAATATTCAACATTTCATCGTCTTTGTTAGCTATTACTCAAAATTATATCTTACACGATGTCGTGTTAGAGGGGCGAAAAGAGAAAAATAGTGACTAAGACCTGCTGATAACGAGTTCTGTTGTGGATTGAAATATCTCAGAAACTAAAATTCGTACCTGAAAACTACAGGCAAGGTCATTCAGCATTTCATCTTCTTTCTGATGACCTATTATTCAAAATTGTATCTTAAGGCAACCAAGAGAAAATTTTCTTAAAAAGCCCTAAAATTTTTAACTTTTTGATGGGTTCAAATGCCCCTAAAACCTCAAATCGATCTGTTTGGGCTGGCAGAGGAGCTTTTTCATAATACCTAAAAGGGATATTTTTAGGCTGAAATTCAAGCCTGTTAGGTTGAATATTCGCTTAAAATTCCCTGGGGCTTATTCAGCCCTATTTGTATCCTCGTGCGAACGACAACACTGCTCGGATCGATCTCCTAGACTACACGAAATGAAACATAAAGATATAAAATAAACACGATTTAGAATTTCCTCTGAATAAAACAGTAAAATTTTAACTCATTTAATACTATCGACAATATTTTTTTCTTTTTTTGTAAAAAAAAAATAAATAAATCGATTGGTATATAATGATCTTGATAAGGTAATATATTCCAGTATTTATTACCATTAATAATTATACGGTGGGAATTAATGAATTTAAGAGATTAAAAAAAATGTCATGTAAGATTTTTCTGAAACGTAATTTTGATAGGAAGAAATCCATCCGCTTTCATCCTTTGTACGGCAATCCAGTTATAGGAGCGGAATAGGGCAGCTTACAATTAATAAAAGTTTTCTAATTGGATTTCCTAAGCCGTACTAAGCGGATTCTGCCGACGGATTCCTTTTTTAAACCAAATGAAGGATTTTTGTTGAAGTGTTGGGTAGATTTGGAAAATGAATTTAAATTATTGCACTTCAGGCTAAATCTCGTTGAAAGTTAAAAAAGAAATAACTAGAATTTCTTTAGAACTTTTAGATAAGACAAAATAATCTTCTTAATTCTGGCTAATTTGGCTATTACGACGTAGGAATGACAGGTTTTCTATTTAAAATATAGATTTTAAAGTATGGATGGTTTATACGCGAGAGCTTAAGGACGTGATAGTTGATTGATAGCGCTAAGTGATCACGCTTTTGATAATGAACCACGGAATGAATCGCGGAATGAATCTACCCACTCTGGCTGGTCTTGCGCCAGAGTCTCACCAGAATCAAGCAGTTACCTATTAGCTGATTGCTATTTATTTAACATATTATTACTTGAGATTTTAGAAAAATGCTGCAGAATTGGTATATTTAGATGTTTTATTGACATAAACATAGTCCAATCAAATTAATAAAATTTACTTGACAGTATATTAAATGCATTGTCAAAAAAGATAGTGATAGACTCCCACCTTGGAATGGAAGAGTAGTTAAGACAATTTACATAATCATTTAATCATTTAAATAAAAAATCTGGTGTTTCCATTCACATGGCTTTACTTTAGATTGTAGGCAATATTTTTTTTTAATTTTAAATATGTTCATTAAAAGTCTGGTGCGCACAACACACAACATTCACTAACCGCTCTACTTTGAATAAATTATTTATTTTTTGTTGTTTCTAAATTATTTTTGCCAATGTTGGGCTATTATAAAATTTTTGAATTGCATTTTTAATCGAGCTAACATTTTTAAATTCTTACATCTAACAAATCATAAATTCGATTAAAATAAAAAAAGTCCTATTTATTATATCACCGGTTGATTGTACGTCTATTAATTATTAAACTGTTATTTTTCACAGCAAATTTTACTAAACCGGACTTGCCGAGATTTGCATTGCCTTTCATAGATAGATCAAAAGTTGTCACACTAATTGTAAGTGGATACTGTTGGGATATCAGAAAGAGAAAATTCATCAAACTATTCACTGAATTAATTTTATAAAAGTTTGCATGATGATTTTTCGGAATAAACAGACGATTGATACCTAATTATTTAAATATAATATCATATCTAGAGTTATTAAACTACAGTAAATTTATTTAAAGTTATTTACATATCCCTGAAATATTTTTATATTTCATTTCTTATTTCACACAATACAACGAAGTAGTATTTTAAACAATGTCATTGCCTTCATTCGGTGGATTTTAAATACTTTTTCAAACTTAAAAACATTTTTATAAATTTACATTTAGTAAGAAAATCTCATTTTAACATCCTTGGAAACACGTGATTTACGTAAAATAATGTTAGTTTTCAGAATTTATTATTTATATTTTTTTTATCATTCTCCGTTATCTCCTACAACTTTATATATTTGATATAATTTTTCTAAACTTCTTTGCTTTCCAACGATACATTATACCTACCTTCTAACTATTATTTCCGGAGATTCGTTTTCGTCATTTTTTTTTTTCTCCTTTTAATATTTATCAAATCCTTTCAAAAATTATATTTAGCCATTTTTTATAACTCCTAATAATGAAAGATAGTCAATTGTTTAAAATAAACCAAATTAAAGTTACTTTATATGAAGACATAATGAATATTGGGAATTTAAGTCCTGTAAGACGACATCAATATGGATAAGACCTTGATGATATTAAAGACCAATTAATAATACTCTGATATACCAAATTTGATTAAAATTGTTGGAGCCGTTATAAAAATGCCACTTCCGGTCAGCAGATTTTGACGAAAACGTTGCTGAAACATTTCAAGTATATACAAACCTTAAATTTGCAATTTCAGTTTCATACGACTTTTCGTTTTTTAACTAGACTCGTCATATTCATACATACACACAGATACACTCACATAGATCGTTTTGCGGGACTTGGTTATTTAGACTCAGGAGACCTGAAAAAATATGCATTAAAAAAAAAAATTTCTGTGAAGTGGTCAGTGGCAGGAATAATTCTTTTATCCTTTTCACCCAGTGGTGAAACCATCATATCCACATCGTACCGCAGTGATATAAACATAATGCTTCAAAGACTTGTTAAAAAACAATTTGCATTGGTTAATCGGAAGGGGTCTATACTCTTATATTTTAATGCCAGACAGTGGAGAAACTAAACGGAATGTGTAAACGAAGTCCTTCCACAGATTTCCACCTGTTCAGAAATTTGGATAAATCCCCTGAAAGTAATTTTTTTTCAAAATGATTCTCAGGTCAAAAACACATTTTCTTACTCCATTTCTTCACAAAATCCTGAAATTTTTAGTTCTGGGGTTGAAAAGTTGGGAAAAAAGAATAGAAAATGACGGTAAATATTTTGGATAAAAAATATTTCATTTCATAATGTTATTTTACTAAATCACCTTTTCTGTGAAAAATGATATTTCATATGAAACGACCCAATAATTGATTCGTAAATTAAGTTAATTGATAACAGAAACTGAA